ATGGGGGGGGGGGGGGGGGGGGGGGGAGTTTCAGATCAGCAGTTCAATCCAGAGCCTGCCTCCTCCTCACCCTGGTCATCTGTGTGAACATAAGGATGCGGTGCCCCCCTGCCTTGAGCTTCGGCAGCATCCGGTCCAGGAGCTCGAACTTGCCCGAGCTGCGGATCAGGTCCTGTTGGCGTCGACAAGCGTCGGGGAAAGCTCAATCATCAACGTGTCTTGTACCCACAGCGTTTGCGTTTGGCGACACCAAAAACGGTACCAACAGTAAACACCACCACGACCACCACCACCAACATCAACAACAACGATAGCAACCATGGACAACGATTACGGTAACGGTAACAAGAATAGGCTGTATGTAACGGTCCACCTCACCAGGTCTGACGGCCATCTGTCGTCGAAGAAGAGGTACGGGTGGTTGCAGACCTTCCGCAGCTGCATGAACACGTTGTTGAGCCCCTTCCCCGAAGCCATGCCGATACCCTACACATGCGTGCAAAAACGATCGAGCCAATTTGTCGGCGTTGACGATGTCCATGTGACGATGAAAAAATGTTAGTGTTGAAAATGTCTCTGTGACGATAAAATTCGCGAGTGTTGACAATGTCTCCGTGACGATAATTGTTGTCAGTGTTGACAGTGTCTCCGTGACGGATGAACAACGACGACAAGTGTCACCGGCCACTACCTACCGTTGACACTATCGTCATGTACCCTACCGACGCAACACGACATCGTTTTCCGCCGCTGCCGCGAGAAACACCGCTGGGAAACCTGCCGGTACGCGTTGCCATCCATCGCTAGCATCATCGTTGATCGATGTCCCTTTTTTAGCTAATTTCTTCTGTTCTGCTTCCTCGCTTGTAGGTCGTTTTGTACGTTGGTCGAAGACATCTCACCAAAAACATAAAAAAAAGGATGAGTGAAACGCTCAAAAGGGTTTCCAGGGGGTACGGAGGCGTCTTTTCTTGGAATATGCACGAAAAAGAAAATAGTGACATTCAGATGCACCTCCATACTCTCTTGTAGCTGCCATAGCTTCGTGTAGCACCGACGACAACACCATCTCGCCGCGTGTTTACGTTGTCTTTACCGGAACCCCGTCTACTGCTGCAGTTGCAAAAACAAAATACTGTGCTGTTGCACGAGTTTAGGTGCCACACGGCGCCGCCTCCTCTTGCCAGGAGTCACGATCCAGGGGGTCAAACAGAAAAAATATCATACCATACAACGCATGCTTTCAAATATATCCCTGGATGGGCTCAGCAAATCATGTTTCCCTCGTCAACAAGGAAGCCGACGCTCACCATACGAACTTTATACGTAGGGCAGATTCGTGTGACACTATATACAACAAAGAGGCTTAACAATAAAAAAATGAAGAAGATAAAGAAAAAAAAGAAAAGAACAAAACAAGAACGAAATGAAGTAGTTCACCTGTTCTTGGGCGATGCCGAACGCCCCTGACTCCTGTATCTGCTTGTACAGAGCACGCTGCCAGCCAGACAAGTCGCACCGAAGCACCTTCTCCACCTGGAAGAATGTTTCGTTCGGAGACAGACAAAGAGAGAGAGGTAACAACTGCTGTCAGGCACACTTAAAAAACCATATCGTAGGGTCTCTAAAACCATTGGCGAACCAACTAACATAATGACGGGGAACATGGCAGGAGTGATGACGAGTCAGCGAGAATCAGACCTCTGCCTTTCCCGGATGATGGGTATTTCGGGAGATGGAAGGACCCGGAGAACATGCGGGTTTTCGTTAATAGTGACAACTCAGGTCAGCCTCTCTCTCTCTCTCTCTCTCTCTCTCTCTCTCTCTCTCTCTCTCTCTCTCTCTCTCCCTCTCTCTGGTTCTCTCTGTGTGTTTCTCTCCCTCCCTCCCCTTCTCTCTGGTTCTCCTCGCCCTTGCTCCTTTCCTCCACACCCCTACAGCACCACGTCCCAACCAACGCTTCCACTCGTCCCGTATGCCTGCCTGTCTGCCTGTTTGCACTATTAACGCCTCTTCACCTTTTCCGGGAGCTGTCCCATGACCTCCGTCTTAACCCTCCGGAGCATGAACGGCCGCAGCAGCGCGTGGAGACGATTGATGACCAGCATACGTTCCTCGGAGGACATCATCTCCTAAACACAACAACGACACACACACAAAGCGGGGGGATTGCCAATGGGGGTGTTTGTCAGTTGCGTCTGCTGATTCGAGAGCCGTTGGGGTTGGTTCTGCTAGTCTCAGGAGGCGGAGGTACAGCCGACGACAACGACAACGACAACAACAACGACGACGACAACAACAACGACGACGACAACAACAACGACGACGACGACAACAACAACATGATCAACAACAACAACAACAACGACAACAACAACAACAACAACAATAACAACAACAGCAGCAGCAACAACAACAGCAGCAGCAAGAGCCATGACGACAACACCACCATCAATAACAACAACAACAGCAAGCACAACATTGCTGTAGCTTTACCTGGTCGCCTTCCGCGGCGTTCTCGTCCGCCGCCCCCCCGCCCCCGCCCTTGAAGCTGGCGAACGGCTGCAAGACAACACAAACAACAAAGAGAACAAGGGGTGATATGATCATCAAATGTGTGCATAAACCGTGAGCACTCCCTTATCCTTGCAGGCTGCGGGAATAGCTGGAAAAAGTACGAAATACACGTCAGAAAACAAGAGGAAAATGACAGGTACACAAAGAACAAGCACTCAACGGCCAGGCCGATGCCTGCAACGACAGACGCGTACACCAACAAACGAAGCTGGGTTGGGGGGGGCTATCCTAACTCGGAACTTGGAAGAAACAAAAACAAACCTGGTTGAACCAATGGTCGAACGTGTCGACGCTGTTGAAGATGGTCGGTAGAAGGAAGTTCAGCAGAGCCCACAGCTCCGGCAGGTTGTTCTGAAAAAAAAAAATCAGAATAAAGAGGATTGGGGGGGGGGGGATCGTTGAAAACATCACGGAGACCAGGATCACCTCGCCTCGCGCCAGTTCAGCATGGCACGGGGGAGGGGGGCGCCATAGGATATTGCCGAATGTGCCAACTATAGCAGATAATATCGCAACCAAAAAAATGAAACACAACGAGCGGGGCTCACTCGGAGTGACAAACGAACACCTCTCCACCTTCATTTGCCACTCACGGGAAATTAACAACTCTTGCAAAGCAGCTCAAGTTCTTAAGTTTTGATTTTATGAGGCTCAATATCTTAACTCTTAACTCCCGAGTTGTTATGTGCGGGCGCATTCTGTACTCCAAGGTGCATAAAACGAAACGGTACGTTTTCAGAAAGCTCTCCGACGAGACGGCTCCAACAAAACCCCGCCGTTTTCGGCACCGCCACCGTTTGTAGAAATCGAGCTAATGAAAATCGGACGTGGGGGGGGGGGGGG